GCCATGTACACATTGCTATTAGACTTGAATGTAGTTGTAATACAATGGTTGTTTGTCCCTCGGTATTTTCAAGGAGCCGCTTTTGACTTGGTCTGTGTACCACCTCGGGTGGGCTGGCCTTTGGGTCATGCAGTAATCTAAATGCTTCCTCTGTGCCCAATACATGAGTTCTGCCCCAGTATTGTGTCTTACTTGGTCTTCAGGGTAGTCTCGGGACGTTACATAATTACCTGCTCCAAATCTAATGCATTCATAAGCACTCTGTCATGTTTGCCCATATAACCATGTTGCCTGATCGAACAAAGAAGCCACGAAGTTAGGGGTATCAGCTTCTCACTGCAGCGCCCTTTGGTCACTCCTCTGCCACTACTGTCACAATGAAGCAGGCATTTTAACAGCCACTTGCAAGCCAAGAATGGTGGTCTTTTTTCGAAGAGGAAGACATTTGACCCTCAAATCACCTTCATGTCTCGTCGACTCCCCATTCTCTGGGGCACTTAACACTCTTCAGCTCTGCTTTGTCGAGAGGCATCAGTAGATTAGATGTTATCGCGACAAAAGACAATGATGAGCACTTCCCATCTGCCAATCACTGTTTATGACAGCAGCCGCCTTATAACGGTCACTTAACTGGGCAGCACTTAAAGTGCCTTCACGAAGCTCCTATTCTCTATTTATCCCCCTTACTAATTTATCCTTGCCCCAGTGCTGCATCTAAGGATATGAAGAGGACACAATTTGTTCAATCTTCCATTCCTGTTGTCGCCTCACCTTTAAAAATCTTCCTGTAAAGCCACAAAGTGGTATGACTGTTGTGCATTCTTGCAGATCTAGGCAACTACGCCAGACACCACGCTGCCGTCAAGTTCAAATCTGGTGCATAGCTCTTACTATCTTCGGTTGCATTTGCCATTGTCACCTGTGCAGCGCTCCACAAGTCGCCTCTGGAGTTGTCAAAGGCCGTGCACATGGCGGACAAATCCTGCCGTCAGTACGTAAATGGGGATCGAAACGAATGAAAGAACTGCCTGGTTCAATGCACAGTTGAAGTAAAACCGAGTCACTACAAATTATCAAGTAAATCACCCAGTTCTCCTTCCTTTTCCCAACTTATGAATCCCAACATTTAAATTAGTTAATTTGCATCTTTGTTGTTCTAAACTTGCATCAACGGCAAACGCACAGTGTTTGTGTGAACAGCATAGCACATTGGTTGTGGCCATTTGGGGCGGCATCAAGAGGTGGTCTATTCCGCTCAAGTCTTCCGCCCACGACACCTCACGTCATCGCCATTTTCACTCGTCTGATGGTCATTGGGCAGACTGAGCACAGATGCCTTGTTCTTCTGCACGCCATTCCTATTTCCGTGGATGTAGACTTTGGTCCAGTAGGGTGGAGGCAGCCTGCTCCAACGCAGATGCAGCTCGTCTGTCACCTCTGCAATCACTCTGAGGGCCTGAAAAAAATAAGACAAACAGCCACCGCTCAAGGCACACCACGGTTCGCCATTTAGTGTGATTTAATTCAAGAGACTACTGCACCCATATGCAAATCTGTACAAGTTGTAAAGGAATTTAGGTCCCGTTGGAACCTCTTTGGAGATTTTGTCTTGTTCCTACTTTTCTAGGAAAGATCAACCTTATGCCATTCTGTCGGAACAGATGGGGATTCAGTGCCAATAACCCAATTCAGACTCCTTCAATCATGTTGTTTGAGCCACTTAAGCTGGTGGTTGACCAATCGTCAAGAGATAACTAATCCTCAACGCTAAATGCAGAAGGACAGCGCCAAATTTGCCTTTTACTTTTAGTTTGGAGCCTCATTCATTTTGTCTGTGGTCCGCTCTTTACACATTTCACTCACCCATCTTTGGATTCCCGCTTTCCAACACAAACTAACCCTAACAGTTCTACTTTGCGATCAGAAGGCGTAAGGAAGCAAGTTTCAGACACAGACGCCATCCTTGTCAGCGTAGAAGCACATTTGTAGTCGCAGAGGGTCAGCCTAAACCACCTTCATTTAGCTAGCATGGATTCAACGAGCTCGGTGCTGACCTACAATTTAGACATACTAGACCGGCCACCTCTAACCAATCCAAATTGACCTCCATACATGAGGGATGTTACAGTCCTCCATCACCTCCATTCACCTCAATCATCCACATTAGTTGATTCTCACCCGCATGTAACCTCAGATTTCATGTTTGCAGAGGGAGAGCATCATCACTACCGAGTCAGGACCACCAGCATGTAACAAACAGGCACAACGTGTCTTTTCGGCAATAAGTAGGACATTTGGCTACCAACTAGCGGCATTTCCCTTCTCATAAGAACAAAGGAACTAATGGCATGTCTATGGCATGTACAAGTGCGTGCGGAGGAAACGGCTTGTTGTGTTTGTGAGGGGGCAGGATTACGCCTGCTTCTAGTAATGACTGACCTGTGGGTTTACACACTACAAGGAACGTAGAAAGGTGTGTTTGTAGGAGGGTCCTAACTACTTGCAAATAATGCTTTACAAATATCTGCTTCTGTGCCATCTGGGTCCTTTAAACACGATTTCATTTAGTAGCAGTGCGCTCTAGTTTTCCCTCCGCTTCACACTTATGCCCATTCTCGGCCAAATTTGTCCATATTATAGACGCTCAGACCTCTTGTACGACTTCCTTTCCTGAGTGTAACCATCAGTATGAATGCACAACGGCTTCCTAATCAAATCTACTCAACCCCCTTCGGCTGATGATGAAGGCACAAAAGAGCGGCTTTTTGAGTGAGTAGTCTCCCAGCCACAAATGATTTGACTTTATGGAGCTACTTGGTTGGCTCCCCTTTAATTCATAAAAGATCTATCGAGTAGAGGAATGACAAACTCACCTTATCCAGCATCTCTTTTGTATGCCCAGCAGAGATACAAAATCGCGATCGCGAGGCAAGAAGCCCAGTGGCAGGGAAGCCGACAATGACCACACCAAGGCCACGTTCAAGGCACATTCGCGAGAAGGCGACCAATTTACCGGGCATGTAGAGGATAATGGGAATGACTGGACTGTCACGATTACCGAAGATTATCAGTCCCATCTGGTGCAGGTGGGCTCGGAAGTAGCGCGTG